GGAGTTGGAGATAGAGGTAGGACGTTGATGAGGGATGTTGATGGCAATGGAGAGGTGGAGAGAGGAGCCTGAGGAGGGATTGATAGGTGCATGACAAGAGGTCTGTGGGAGGATATTCAATGTCTTATACCCTAGTGGCGTGCACATGCAAACAAGGCTAAGTGCCCACAGGGGGGGGTATACTGCCACACAACAAGTGCAATATCATTGCGCAATGATGTGAAATTGTGCTAACTATACAGACTAACCACCTTGTCTTCAGAGTGACAGGAAGCTTTTGTGTATAGATATAGATACTACTATAATTCTAAACATATCATGATCTGTATATGGTCCTAGAGGTAATTGCTCTAAGGTTTACAAAATAAGGATTTAACTTGCATACTGGTCCTGCCCATGAGCGTCAAAACCTTTGAGCAGCATAGATGTCCACACTCCAAGACGTCTACTACTGGGGTCATTTCCAAGCTCCCTGAGTACATCCCTGTCATGCAATAAGGAAGATCTGGTAATGGAGGATATGCAATGGGGGATACAATACTATTCATCATGAGAAGTACAATGAATGATAGATATATGAGACAAACAGAAGGAAGAATGGCTTCACGATGGTTCTCATAAATTGACGGCTAAAACACTTTTCTAATACACGATCTAGGCTGACCACCATTTGAACACTCGTGGTGTCCAATCCATCACATTACTGTACGGAATTGGAGCCAGGCACAGCCTCTTCGGCTTCTAAGCAGGAATGTTTAAGAGTTGAAAAGAGCCGAGTCACTTCAGTAAGTTCTTCACAGTCCTATGAGGCGAAAGTAAATTGGAGGGTTGTGGTCCATTCAGGAGAGTCCAGTTTGTGATTTGCAAGGGCACATCATCCAGGAGAGATAGACTGATTGCCATAAGGGATAATTCTAGATATGCCTCACCAGAGAGCCAGGCATGCAACTCATCCTTATCTGAATGATTCTGTATGTCTGAGCTTGGTACCAGCTTGGACATTGTCAGACTTTTGTCTATCTCATTGCCACTAGAGTGATATGTGTCCTGACATGGTATGGACAATGAGAATATCTTGTCTTTTCCCTGAGCCTGTGCTCCTCAATGATTAAATTTTTGACCGCCACCTACTCTCACGTACGGTGCAGCTGCTCCAGTATGCAGCTGACCTGTGGTTCTATCTAGTTCGGTACCAAGTTCAAATATTGGATTCTTGTCAACATAAGGGTGCCCCCATAGTGCAAGCATCTCCCGCCTCATGTAGTCTTCATCACAGTAGCCATGCACTAAGAGATCTGGTGGGTCCTGCTACGTATGATTTGAGAGCAGCCAGGCACGCATTGATTCACCATTTTTGTTGAAAATGAAGTCCAACTGTGATAATAGTTGCACAGGAAGCTGGCCCAGTAACCTGCTTCCTTCCACAGTAGCGCCCAGCATATAGGGAACCTGTCGTGCCAGTATCCATCTCAAGAGCATGGCACACAACCCAGGAATACTGGAGGAATGCAACATACCAAATTGGATTCTGGAGATGTGTGGGGTTCACCAATTAATGGATTGATACGAGGGTGAAGCTTCAGCCAACCGTTTCAGTACGCTGTGTAAACCTGCTCCGAGTAATGAGAGCTGGACGCAATCTATACTTATCACACCAGAGGGCCTAAGTAATGCGCTCCAATCTATATTTCATTTGTCAGTAAGTGGAGGCTCGACTTCAACAACTTGTAGGAAAATGAATAAACCAGTTGAACCATTGACTGGTAGTGCTAGATGGGGGCATGCAAGTGCGGGATGTTCGGGTGCATTTTGCACTTCTGGTGTATCCGGACTCCTTTGGGTGCCTGTTAATCATCTTTATATGTAGCAGGGGGTTCATAGAGGTCCAGGTCATCCTGGTCATCCTGCTGGCCCAATGCAGTGAAAGGTAGTTTTTCCAGGTACATCAAGTCACAGAGGTCACCACCATCATTGCCCTCATCCTCGTCATCCTCACCATGGCAATCAACCTGGTCATCTTGAGTCCTATGAGCTACTTCAAGTTGCGGCGCCAAACCTTATTCTGCATTGGGGCCCCATTGGGCTGTTGAGCCAGGCAGTAGCAACAGCTGATTAACAGTGACAAGTGCCATGACGATTGCAGGGGTGCCCGGCATCAGTTGAGATACTGGAGATTTCTGAAGAGCATCTGTTAACTGCTGACCACAGTCTTTAATGACGGTAATGATGGCTTCTTCGATCTGATGCCTCCGCGGCACATGACTAGTCCCTGCCCTCACAAGACAATTGCAGGTAGGGCGTAATCCTCTTATGCCCTGAAAAACCTCGATGAAATCAGTGTTCAGGAACATGTTGCAATTGGTTACAGTTGCTTTCTAAGATTTGATATTTGATAGTATTTTGCCACGCATTATAGAGCTGTCTGCCAGCATCATCAGGAGTAAAGTTAAGCATTATCTTATACATGCTGATTTTTTAGTTATCGGCTCTTGCAGTTGTAATCTCTCCAACAATAGCGAAGGCTGGAACCTGGGAGACGAGTTCCAGTGCAGTTTGATGGCCCTTTGAAACAATTGGTGAGTGGATGTATTGCATATTGTTATTGTTTTACGCAATGTCTTCTGGTTTGTTCAGAGTGTTAATATTGTGAGCCTGGTGGATGTCATCAATATTGTGCATATTTTTCCTGTTGTGACTGATGTAACCTTCCCTTGGTCGTCAGTAATTCAGTTTAAATATCCAAGCTCAGTTCCTGACATTCAAGTTGCCTTGAAATATTTTCAACATTCATCGGTAATACTGGGTCTAGGCACTCCAGACATCTCAGGCCCACAGGTGTTTTAAATTGAAAATAGGACATCATATACATGTGGACTGAAAAGCGGGATGTCTGCGGTCCACGAGCTCAAGAAACCGGATATCACAGTCCAAGTGCTCATGAAACCATATCAAAACAAAGCAGTTGAACACACATGATAGACGGAAACCATATCCTAAACCGAATTAACCGTTAGATAAGTCTTAGGTCATCTGAATTTGGCCCTAACTGACATCCAAATCTACACATGCAATATTAAGCTTTCTACTTACACCTCATCTTACAAACAGGATTCTTCAAATCCACTAACCTTAGTCACGCAAGGTCTACCAAAAGTCTGCTTTGTTGAAGGAGGTCAGCCTGTCCTGGACCGTATGAGAGATATCTGCGCACTGCACATGCTGATGTCAGCACTGTTCTCGCATCTCACCTGCAGAGCAGTACTTCGTCGCAGTGTATCCAGGACACTGAATTCCACCAAGTGCCTCACAATGCCCCAGACCAAGAGCACAATCAACCTGAATCCGACTATGAATCCAACCCCGACCATGTTACCTCCCAATCAGACACCATTAATGATGGGGTTGCGCATAAGCCTGACATGGAATCACTGAATTTGGTCAACGCTTGTTTGGTACCCAGTGAACCAGAATATTATCCCCACACTGGGGATACTATTGTAGCTATGAGTGGATAAGCAGAAGATCACAGAGATCTATGTCATGACTCATGGTCTTCATTTCATAGCGTGCATGATTTCAAACTGGAATCTTGATTCATACAAAGCCAGGTATCTAATACATGGATTAATAAATACTTTTCCAGTGGCCTCAGTATTGCGCTAGAATTTGGCTATAGTTTGATGCATACACTCAAGAACCACCTCCACTCATTAGATCCATATAGCTCATATCTACAAAGGTTGGAGGCCCAGGGGGAGGATGTGCAAGGACATTGCCATTCTTTTACTGTAATGTTCTAGACTGTGTCCGATATCTTCTGCATCAGTGAGCCTCGGGAGATGATTTGATTTACATGGGGTGACATGAAAGCGATCCCAATAGACAAAGAGTAAATATGGAAAGGTATACAGCAGACTGGTGGTGGGACATTCAAGTACCCCGCCAACAGCAATTGCACCCATTTTGACAGAAACAGAGGTTAACCGATGACTGGAAGCACTTCCACCCACCGCCACAGTGGTTCTGATGATTGGGATGTCAGAACAAACACATCTCACTAACTTCTCCGGTGCGAAGAAGGCATGGCCAGTGCCCAACACAGTTGGAAATCTTCATTGACCGTCCATAACTGGCGTGGATCAATGGCTGTTCTGGTTCTTACCATGTTGCTTGTCCCGCCCAAGCTCCTACAGGGTTCTTCCACAAACCAACCAGGGAAACGACTAAACACAGACATACCACAAGCTGTATTCCTATCTGAGCCCTTGAAAGAGGTTGTGCTTGATGGTGTGACAATTGACTATGCATTTGGGAAAATATGGACGTGTTTCCCTATCCTTGTGGCGTGGATTGCGGACACTCTGAAAAATATTGCACAATGTGGGTTAAAATCTAACACCTGTTCCAAATGTGAGTTACATGCACATATGTTAGGATCCAACACTCAGGTCAGGTACCCAGGGAGAGATTACATGAGATGAAAGTGCCAATAAGAAGAAGTTCAGGAAGGCTTGGGTAGGCCCACATCGGGGGACATCTACACCACATTTGATTGTCTCTGTATCAAGATGAGTCAAAAGGTTTTTCATGGACTACCGCACAATTTACCCTCTAGCCTGTACCAGCTAGATCTGCTCCAAAGTGTTTATCTCGGACTATTCAAGCATATGATGGATTGGGTTCAGTGATTTATTAAGAAACAAGTAAGGCTGGAGGTGTTTGATGACATCTGGAAAACTTTATCTCTGTACCCAGCATTCATCAGGGAAAGATAATCCTTGCGTCCTGTGCCTCCTGTACGTCTGAGGCAGGGGACACGCAGGACCATTTGCGTTAATCAGCATGTGGTGCCGCTCGCACGTTGCATCCAGATTTCCCCGGTTGACACCACTTCCATCCTGACGCTATCCTCCCATAGACCTCTATGTCCTCTGCGTCATGAGCTCAGCCACCACAATCCCCTTCCGTCCGGTTCACTGACGCTGCCTTTCTGTCTTCCTCATGAGCTCCGCCGCCATGGCTGTTTCCCCTCCAGACTACAAGCTTTCTGCTGTGTATCGCATCCGGATTATCTCATTCTCTGGCTTTGGATCCGGACGAACACCATAGTGCCTAACTCCTATCCGGACGGAGGCCATGGCGCCAAACCCCTATCCAGACGACTTCAGTCTCGCATCGTCGCCGCCCTGATATTGTGATGCGTATCACATCCCTCATAATTGTGTGCTACTTCTGTGCAATGCATCCTGAATACCCTCACGATAGCCCCCGCGTCGCGGCGCCACCACCTCCTTAGTGCTCGTCAAGACTTCCCCTGCACTCTGGTTGCGTCTGGAGATATTGAATCTTCATGTTGCCATATCTGGACTGGTTAAGCGACGAAGGTGATTTTGGGATACACAGGAGTGCCTGGCTCAGAATCTACTACTCAAGTACTGTACAGTTCAATTCTGATTTATTTACTATTGATCTACTGGTGATCCCGGCCGCCAAGTCTCTACGTGGCTTCTGCAGTACTCATGCCTCTCTTTGGCCATCAACGTCTTCTCATTATATGTTTGGTTTATGAACACGTATTCTGCCGCCTGGCTGCTCTGCGCAGTCACATTCTTATGCAATACTTATACTGTCACCACGGTTGTCCCTCGAAAGCGCCAAGTCCGCCTGTCTCCAAGTATCTCTAGGGGCAAAATCACGGGCAAGGGAAGGTGTCGCTTCTTCAGAATCCTCAAGAGTGAGGGAGAGGCATGAGGTATGGTTGCGGGTCAACAAAGGCTCAGGAAGCTCCTGCGAATCAATAGGACTGCTGACATTTTCCAGAAAGTCTGGAAAGTCTGCAGCGTGGGGGTCACAGTTGAGTAGTGCAGTGAAATCCATGTCCTGTGAAAGATTTAGGCTCGCGAGAGGTCCGGACTGACCAATTAATGGTAAATCTATGACTACATGACTACCCCGAGACGATTGGATCGGGGCTGGGTTCGATTTCCTGCTCACAAGTTCAGCAGGTAGGGCGTCCCAGTCATGATGATAACCTTCAAGCCTGTCATTTTGGATGCTGTGTTCTTGACGCATCTTTTTGTTGAGCTCCTTGCGAATATGGTCCAGGATCATCTACGCCCGGTATACCTCTGACGTGGATATAGGTCCTGTGGGTTCAGCGAGATTTTAGCAATATTCGTCACAGGGGTGTAATTACGAGTTCTGCAAATCGTCACCTCCGGACAATTCTCGCTTGAAGTCCCTTGGCTCAACATAGACACTGGTCTCCCACTCACTGACTGTATGGTATAGTATCGCCCATGTAAAGCAGAACAGTGTGCCATCGATCTTGTTTATCAAGGTAGGGTCTGCAATGCCTCGAATCCTTTTCCCGGCGAAGTACTTGCCATATATTGCATGAGATATCTGTGGAGCTAGGAATCGTAAGCTCGCCTGCTGCGCTCGGACAATAGACTGTCAGGTCAGAGGAGAGGTCTTGTGCAGTCAATCGTTGGTGACAAACCTCATATCCTTTCGGGTTGCACATAAACCAGTCCTCTTTTAGCAGGTATTCAACCTGACGCACAGTATGACAAGGGTCGTTCAGGAGTTGATAAAGGTTTCCGATCGTGTTTTTCACATGGTAAACAAGATGTGCTCGTATGCTCTTGTGTTTGGAACGTATCTTTCACTATTAGTACTTCTCTGTACATCGAGGTATATATCTGACTGCACTTACAATGTTGAGACCATCCTCGGCTCATTCTACAGGCTCGACTTCAGCTAAATTCCGCTTGGCCTTGTCCCAAATACTCTGCATTTTCGCTGTCAACCTAACAGGATTCGGGAGTGGGTTATGAAAAAGGGTATAATCCAGAATCATATACTTGGCCTGATCCAAGAGGGCACACTCAGGGCCGAAGGTGTAGTTTGACTCGTGTGATTGCCATTCCAGTTTACACATCTAGTTGAATCCAGACAGCCAGAGGGCCTAGAGCTTCAAATACTGGAAAAAATAGAGCTGCTGCGCACCAATGGAGAGGACGATTGTCCTTGACTTGAGGATGAAAATACAGGGGGGATATAGGCACCTCCGCGACATATGCGACTGTGAAGAGCTGGGGTTCGCCGAGCTGCATCTGCATGACGTGTTTGACTGATTGTTAAAATGCGAATAGATGTGGGGCGATTGTCTGGTGCTGTCTTAGCATGTTGCCCTGCGTGGCGAGGCTGTAAAGTGGCCTCATCAGCGATATCGGACTCCTGGTCGTCAGGGTCGGTGTCTGGTTCACTTTCAGCAGTGCCATGTGATATCTGGTACTCGTCACTACTATCATCAGATAGATGCACAGGTTCCTGGTTTCCCGACCATGTTGTTGTGTTTCATGTTCATTATATCTGTCTTCCTGCAATCCACTCTGGTGTAGATGCTTCGGTGGTCTCGCTATTTGACTGTGATTTGTAGGTGAAGATCCCCGATTAACAGGCTGGTTTGGAGAGAATGTGCTAGGAGAGGAGCCATGAGATATGCTGTGCCGGGACCCAGACGCCAGTGTGCTCGTGGAGGTGTGAGAATCTTGTTGGGATCTGGACCTCGACTTTGCTGATGCACTGAGATCGGACACGCCGCTGCGTCTGCAGCCGTTCTGTTGCAGACCCGAGGAGCCAGTGGACTGCGTGTCTGTGCATGGTGTTCGTTTGTCATTTTACAACTGAATTGTAGATATAGAATAGACGAAAGGAATGAAATCAATAGTAAGCTTAAGTCGCAACTCAGGATGATGTTTGTGTTTGAGTATGTTTCTTGTGTTTAAGGGGATGCCCCAGTCTTATACTCGAGTACAGGTATGCTAGCATTAAGGGGTGGTTGGGGCAATCTGAGAGACTCTGATATTGTGAGTGGGCACATTTGTTGTGTTTGGACTGGTCTGTCACATTCATTGGGACGTGTGAGGCGTCTTACAGGCTAGTACTCATTGTAGGTAAGCAGAATCACATATGATCACTCGGTATGGTTTCGCAGGAATCAAAACCAAAATGTGGGTTTGTGAATCGTCTGCATGGCGCCCACGATGGAAATAGGTGAAAAACATGACCGTGGCAAAGCCAGGAGCATTTCGATCGAAGGCACCGTCATGAGGTTATGTGGAGAGGAAATATTCCAAAAAATTGATTTTCTGAATGTTGACGATGAGGTCCATCAGGGAAAACATACTGTATTGTACCAAACAATCATAGGTTGGAGATCTTTGGTCAAATGAAATGTGCACGACGCCCAAGACTTAGTCTGAACTAATCCTAATTACCAAGAGTATGGATAGCCGATTTGATTTCTCGCCAGACTCATCCCATACTCGAATGGGACTAGGATACTGTAAACTCATGACTAGGTGTAAGCTTAGCACGGGTCAATGGCGTGTGAAACTTTCTGATAGGATCCAACCAGATGGTTGATCTGGGGTGCTGGCCTGGCTCCCGGCCAGGAGTGGACTGGTAGTTGAAGACGATCATAATGCGCTATTATATGCTTGCTAAAAACGGCTATGAATACGAGATTTCCCTACAAGGGGGGCTATGAATGCTGCACGCCGGACAAAAAGAGAAGTCAAGTCTAAGAATACACAATTCAAAAGTGAGAATCATAGGGTATACAAGTATCTGACGCTGCACAAAAGGAGATCTCTAGACTAGGAATACATGTAAGAGCAAGGAACATGGATTAATACATAACACCCAAGGAAAACGCCTACATGGGAATCCAGAGAAGAAAAAAAAAGTGAGTGACTGGATACAATCCCCTTATCACTTGGGACATTTGCGTCCAGACTGGTGGGGCCCAGGGGGAGTTGGCATCATTTCGCACGGATTTTGGTGTCAGGGGGTGGTGTGGATGTTCCTTTTGCCCTTGCGCTTTGCCTGGTTGGGAGTCTGTTGAGGTGTGGGCGTCCCAACATTAGGGGTAGACAGAGGTGCTGTCTCCGACGCCTGGGGTGTCTCAGGAGGCGGGAGAGTTTGTGGTGTGACAGGAAGACCAGTTGCCGAAACAAAAGTGTCCTGCGCTGATGGGGTCCCAGGAGCCGGGCGAGGCGAATCAGGGTGGCAATTAGATTTGATGACTGATTCAAACGGACTTAGGCTGTCAATCGCCCCATTGTACCCATGAGTGTGAGCATAGTGCGAGCGCTGACCACAGGGTTGCGATATGTGAGCCGCCAACCCCAGCTTCTCTAATAGTATCTTGTTCTGGTCTCCCTGCCAATCTTGAGTGTATGGGCGAGGCGGCGCAAGGTCAGACGATAAGGGTTGATCGCGAGGGACCTCCGGACGATGCCGATGGGAGTGAGAGCCACTGCTAGCAGGTGCACCAGGTTTGTGTGGCAAATTCGTCACCCCGGGAGAGACAGAAAAGGGATGTACTGTGTTCAGTTGACTTTGTGAGGGAGCGGGGGCGTTAGGATCCCTGAGACCCAAAGGCGCTGGGCTCCAGGCTGGTTTTGGCACGGGGGCCATGGGAGGAGGAGAGTACTCACTCCCTGAGTGAGTACCAGTCCCAGTCCAGGCGCGGGCTCTTGCCTGTTGCTATTGTTGTGATTAGCTATCATATAGGATCCAGCACATTAATAGAAAAAAAAGTATGTCAAGACTGACCTCGTATATGTCATCGGGAATGACCACTGGGGTAGCATCCGGAATTCCGAATTCATACTCTTCAAGATCGCGAGAATCCTCACTCTCGTCGTCCTCCTCGTCACTTTCATCTCTTTCCCTCTCCTCATCTAACGTGGCTCCCCCGGATTCACTGAAATCTCTTCCATGATTCCAGACATTTCTGTTGATAAATGGATATCGTCCAGAGTCTGGCTCTGGGGTCCTGTGTCTTGTATCTTCCACCTCTTTCGATCACTCCACGACCTAAAGATCCCTAGGCTCTTTTCCATCTTGTTGGTTGGCCAGGAGCCACATGCGCACGTCGTCATCGTCGTGGAAGAAGATGAGCTCAGCCATTGCGAGAGTTTGGGAGGACTCATGGCGTAGGGAGCAGGCGCCTGGACCTGTGGTGCCGATCATGGAGTGGGCGTAACCAATGGCCATCTCGATATTTTGCGCCTTGACAACCAAGATTACTTCTTGTATACTTGGGGATCTCAGGACCCCCCAAGCCACGCCCTGGTCCTGTTTGCTGGAGTACTACGCATACTCTAAGAACGCATGGTTGGCGAGCGGAGCACCAGTTCGCTGAATGACGTGTATCCTGATAGCCTGCAAGGGTTCAGGCTGTGAGAGTTGGGATCTGGCCTCTGTCACAATTGTTTAGCAAGTAAACAAGGATGTGGATTACATGGACGGCTTACTCGTGGATCTCGCCCTGTGGCCAGTCCCTCCGTGCTGGGTCTGGGAATTCAGCTTCGATGTTTGTAGCTTCTTAGCTACATCGCGGACCAAGATTTTCATCAGGCATTCGAGTTCGTCCAGGTCGTCGCGTTGATGCTGTGTTTGTATCAGCAGCTGGCGCTCCTTGGTTGGCCCAATGTAGCCAGCGAAAACAACGAGCAATTCCCATTGTTGATGTGAGAACTTAGCGGGCTTCCAGTTCCGAGTGCTAAGCTAACTTTTGAGTTGCTCGGGCCAGGCCTTGTACTGAACATTTGTCTTGCTGAAATCGCTGAACCCACACCCAGCTTTGGCGTAGTTAATGTCTCCCACATGTTTACCAGTGCTGCAAGAACAAAGAGTATGTGAGTGTTGTACATTTCAGTAAGTATATAGATCTGCTTTCACTTACCTTGATTTCAGGAGCGGCACAATGAAGGCTGCCTTGCTGCCCGCAGAATCGATCCGGCTTTTGACAAACTTTAGCTAGACGACCCGTAATGGCATGAAATCGGATGTTTTGGTCCCATATGCTCGTTTCTCTGCTCCAGCTTATGATACTGCTCGGGGTAGTTTCTTTCTGCATTTTACGCTATGCCCTGTCTCAGTCGGGGGGTCTCCGACTCGGCGCCTAAAGCAAACAGACCTATTAATATGGTTTGATGTGTGGGAGTGGATGCAAGGTGATATGTAAACTTACATCCATTTGTCCAATGGAGTGCATGGTACCTTGGGGGGCATTTTTGTATTTTAGGTGCAGGATTGGGCATGCGAGACGAGATGTTATGCGGAATAAAGAGTAAAGGACGTCAGTTAAAATAAGGAGAAATGAGAGGCAATTGACGGAACTGTGAAGCCAGTCTGCGAGACACCAGTGAGATGGGCAAAGTTTACTCAATACGAGTGTGCTTCACATGAAGGGGTGGTGGGGATGGTAGATGGGACACAGGAGCAAGAAGCAACTGTGGAAGGTGCCGACTTATCGTCTTTCTGGGTGATGACCTAAGCAAGGGTTGAATCACGTGTCCGAGAAAACAATTTTAAGCACCATAGGAGCTCACGACCTCATGCTCAATGCACCATCCAATACAGCACGGTCAAAATGCCGACCTCCCTACTTAGACCACGTACACTACGTCTCACCTCATGACGAGAAAGGCCAATTGAGGAAATGGAACACATGATGGCAACACGCAGTCAGACTTAAGATACACACACTGATAGATATACTCCTGACTACTAAGGAAACTTCCTATGATAATGCAAAACTGTTTTACATACGATATAGGTGCACACGGCGTAGAATCCGGGGACCTCCAAGTCCATGTTCAGTGTGTGACTATCAGGCCCGGAATCCCAGCGCTCTCTCTTTGACTTTGTCGCCAGAACTTTTTCAA